GGATAGTATCTTTCATTTATTTATTTAATATAATCTATTTGTTTAGACAAGGGAGCATGAGATAGGACACTTTGACTTTGGAGGCCACATAAGCCTGGATCTGGATTCCAACACTTAGCTGTTTGGCCTTGGACAACTCTCTCAACCTCTGAACCAGTGTCTTCATCTGTAAAAGTCACTAGTGATAGTTACCTTGCAGAATGAGGGGCAAAGATTACAGAGAATACAAAGGGCCCAAAAAAGTGCCTGTTGCAGAGTGATCAGACAATAGTTGGTCTTCATTCCCTGCACGCTGGGAGCCTTCCCTGAATTGGGGGACAAAGTTCCTTAACTAGCCTTCCCCCCCATACTGGAACACTTTTTAATCATTACACTGGTTCCACAGACGTGACCCGGGGCGCAAGGCCATCCTACCCTAACTAACAATAACGGGTGAGGGCAGGGTTCAGACCCTGAGCCACCATAGCCCAGTGCCTAAGCATGGCGCCCAGCAGAGCTCAAGCTCAATGAACGTTTGTTGAATGAACAGAACCGGTCCTCCCTTCGGTTTCTTGCAGCATCAGCGAGTGAGGAAGCAGATTGAAAAGCCCGCCCCCGCAGACTCCCCACCCCCACCTGGGTCCCAAAGCCTCCAGTAGCCTCCTTTCTCTAAGGTCTCTCCTTCTCCAGCCCGCTTCCCCCACCCCGGTTGCCTTGGAAACAGTGACGTGTGCATGCGGGGCGTGAGCCCTCTCCATCCTCTCCTGGAGCCCCTGGCCCCTGCCTACTCAGACCCCGGCAGAGGATGAGATTGGGGGTCCTCGACCCTACCGCCCGCCTCCCGTCCCGGTGCTAGCCACGCCCACAGGGCCGCCCCCCGCGGGCGCGTAGCTCGCTCCAGTGCGGGCGCCCCACCCCCAGCCCGCCCGGCGCCGGTGAACTGGCGGGGGTCTGGAGAATGCCGGCTTCGGCCTCTGGGATCCCTTCCCACTCCTTCACCCCTGGCGGGCCAATGGATCCCGAGAACGCGGGCCGGCCCGCCCCTTCCCGGGCAGCCCTCGAGCGCGCTCCGCGTCCTGGGGGGTAGGCGGGAAGGGTGGGAGCCCCCGGGGCGCCCGAGCGCCGCGGAGCGCGGGAGAGCAGGGGTTAAACAAGGTGCCGGCGCCGGGCGCGGCGGGAGTGGGGGAAGGGAGCGAAGGGAAAGTGAGAGCGGGGGCGGCGGGGGGGCGGGGGGGGGGGGGGGGGGGGGGGGGGGGGGGGACGGGAGCGAAAGAACATCCTGTGCCCGTCGCCGGATGCGCGCCTGGGGAGGAGGTAGTCCGGGGAGGGGGGGAGCTAAGCGGGGAGGCCCGGGGCGGGGAAAGGCTCGGCCTCCGCCCCCCACCCGGCCCTCCTCCTCTGGGGGCGCCAATCTCAGTGCTTTCGCCGCGTTTCTCCATGTCCCCCGGCTTCCGCTGGAGTAACGAGCTACAGAGAGGCCCCCGAATCTGGTTCCTGGGCCTGGGTAAGAGCCAGCTGGGGAGGGGACGGTCTCGGAAAGCGTGGGGTCCACGGCAGGGCACGGGCCGCACCCCCTGCCTTTCGTCTCTCCACTTTCTGGCTTTCTGCCTGGAGGAGCTCGCACGTATGGATTGCCCCCTGCTCACCAAGGGTCGCAACATAAATTCTGTCATTCAGTTCTGACAACAGCACTTCCTGGTAGTTGGTAGGTGTCAGTAAACCCATATTCCGGAGGAGGAAACACAGGCTCAGATTATGGGATTTGCCCAAATCCAAGCCCATCGGACTCCAGTGAACGTTCCAATATACAGTAGGCTAATTTCCCCTTAGTTTCTCCTGTGCATACAAGCGCTGGTCCCCTCCAGTGTCCCCCGCCATAAAGACCTAGCACTGTGTCTTGCACAGTAGGCCGCCAATAGCGTAATAGGCTTTTTAAATTAACTCGGTTGAAACACTCATTACCAGGGCTTCATAGGTTGGGGTTTCGTAGGTGGGGAATGGGCTGGGGGAAAGAGCCCTCCTGGTTTAAGTATTTTGGGGGGCTTCAAAGAGGCTCCAGAGTTGTTCAAGGCAATTAAATGGGTCAGGGGAGTTGAGATTGATTAGCCTGAAGAAGAGGGGTGGGGCGGGTGGAGGTGAATGTCTTTCAGGTATCACTGAGACCCACCATCTGTGTGCCCACTGCCTTCCCACACCCAACGTTTTTGTCCAGGTGAAACCTGCTTATAATAGTAATTGTAGTTGACATTTGATGGGCCCTGGGCACTGTTTCAAGGATTTAATCCTCACAAACCATCCCAAGAGGCAGACATTATTATTACCATTTTCCAGGTGGGGAAAGTGGGGTACAAAGAGAGCGCAAAGCTAAGTCAGTGGCCAAACTGGTTTTGAACCCTGGTGGTCTGGCTCGAGCCCACACTCTCCTTCACTAAACTAAGTTGCACCTACCATGATGGGAACATCAGCTTTGAGAGTAGAAAGCCAGTGCAGATGGCAGAGAGGTGTGTGCTAGGTCAGCCCGCGTGTTTTGCCTTGGTCAGGATAGGAAAGAAACTTGGGGCTGGTTGTGCGTATCTGGGATCTCAGACTCCTCTGTCTGGATTTGACAGAAAGCAAAATAAGAAAACAAAAGCCAAGTTCCTACAAAGTTGCATCTTGAACTTATGCACCCTAAGAACACTCACAACACAACTACCATCTATTATCACTATCATTTCGTAAAAGCAAGCGCATTTTAATTCTCAAAATAAGAAAGACCTCCTCTGAATCAAAAGCAGTCATTCCCAAGAAAGGACAGTCATTGACTTTACACCAACAAATGGACGTTCCTCTGTAATTTTTTTTTTTCACGGTGCTGTGGACTAGTGAGAATGTCACTCTGGGCATGGCCTCTGCCTCTTGGTCCCTGTGTATCATCTGAGAGCAGAACCAAGAGAAGTGTGCTTTAGGTGTAGCAGGAAGGAGTTGGGTTAAAGCCAAAAGAGGATGCTTTTTTTTTTTTTTTCTTTAAAGAGCAGGTGGGCGCTGCATTTACGTAGGAAGTGAGGGTTGCAGAGTCAAGCCCCCAGACTAGAGAGGCCAGTAGCCCTGGTTTCTACCCCAGAGAAGGGCCGCAACCTTGTTCTGAAGGATCTACCCTGAAATCCACCAGGGTAGCCTTAGAACCTAAAGCAGTCCCATCAGGCAGCCATTTCCTGCCTGGAGTCCATGGGGCATGACAGGTGGTTCCATGGCAGCAGGGAGGCCTCCAGGGGCCTCTGTCACCCCTCATCACAGAGTCCATGTAGTCACCCACCTTGGGTGACTTGGGTAGAGTGCTTGGGTAGGAATGACCCTTGAGGAGGGCCGAGGACAGAAGAGAGGAAAGGAAGAGAATGACCACCTAGGAGTGTTGCCTGTAGCCCAGAGTGTGCGACGTGAAGGCTCTGAGTGGACGGGCCCGGCTGGCTGCAGCCTCCTTGGGGATGCTACTTTCCTATTTCCTCACATCCTTCAAGTCCAGGTGTAGCCCAGGACCTAGACCCTTCTAACAGGAGCTTAAACCCAGGCAGGTGAAGCCCTCTTCTGGTACAATGGTGCCCAGTGCTGGCTCTGGGCCTGAGCCTGGCTTGGGGTTTGTCACTTCCCTGGTTTGTACTAGGAGGCAAGGCCAGAGGGGACAAGCAGGGAAAGGGGAGAAAGAGGGAAGGGTCTAGTCTCACCTGCCATATCCTATTGGTGGAGACCAAGTCCTCCAAAGTCGAACTCTCATTTTCTGGGATGGTGGCATTTTCTCCACAGGAGGCCTCAAGCCTCATCTCACTGTGTAGGGGTGGGGCAGGGCACTGGGTTGTGGTTCTCCCAGATTTAGGCCCCCATCGTTTATTTATTTTTAAGTTTCTTTGAGAGAGTATGTGCACATGAGCAGGGGAGGGGCAGGGAGAGAGAGAGGGAGTGAGAGAGAGAATCCCAAGCAGGCTCCACACTGTCAGCCCAGAGCCCGATGCAGGGCTCAAACCCACAGACTGCAAGACCATGGCCTGAGCTGAAATCAAGAGTCGGATGCTCAACCGACTGAGCCACCCAGCCACCCCTTAGACCCCCATCATTTAAAGGCACACACCTACCCAAGTTTTAATCCTGGAGTTATAGAATGGTAAATCTGGATCCTCTCAGGTTGCAAGTGCACAAACTGAGACCCAGACATGGGCAATCTCGTCCTCCTCCAGGGTCACACCGGTTGGGCCTGGAGTGCCTATGTAACCAGATTCTTGCTCACTCTGGGTTGGATTTTGACACTGTTGACAGAAGTCATGATTTTGACACTGTTTGACAGAAGTCATGATTTGAGCCCCTCCTAAGTACAGGACTCTGTCAGATGTTGCAGATGCCGAGAGAGCTGCCCTCAAGAGCTTTTGGCCAGACAGGTAATTACTACCCACTACAGGGGGAACTACAGTTGCTGGAAGGTGAGTTTGCCTCAAGACCGTGAAACTTTACAAAGTGCTCCCCTTGATGGAAGGGGGCCCTGCCTGCAGAAACACCCAGATGCCCAGCAGTCAATCCATGGTGAAGAAATCAAAGATGAGAGGCCAAGGAGTGAGGGAACAGGGTTGCCAGTTGGGCACACCCGACGCCCCTCCCAGAAACTTCCCAAGGAACAAGCCCAGAAATTGGGCCTCTGCTGCCCTCTAATGGAGGAAAGCCAGACTCTAGAGCTGCCTACCGGGGCCCAGCCATCCTGGCTCTCCTAAAGAAAAGGGGACGTGAAGGACCTTCCTGCCCCCAGAATTTTTATTCCCTTAGAGTCTCGAGCTTCATTTCCTACAGCCTCAGAAGCTGAAACTTCTCTCCTTCCAAGCGCCTCTGGCCATCTTGTTTCCCGATCACCACCCTCCATCCTGTTTCCCCAGTTTCCTTTGTTGCCCAGGTTCTGATTCTGGTACCCTGGTTCCCGGCCCTGCCAGAGTTCTGGTTCCAGAAGGCCCTTGCCAGGTGCCTTGGGCCTAGCTCCCACCTGGGAGCAAGGCAGCGCTGAAGACATGGGCATGAGCATCCCCCAGTGCCTGGGGCAACTGCACATCCGCAAGGGTGTAGTGGGCTTGGCCACAGGTGCTGGGTTCATCTACCTGCTCTACAAGGCCATCAAGGCTGGCATAAAATGCCAACCGCCCCTCTGCACCACCTCACCAATCTGCATCGCCCGTGAGTGTCCGGGCCCTGGGGAGAGGGCTCTGCCCCAGGAGGCACCTGCTCCCGAGGCCTCCAGTGTGGGAGGGCCCAAAGGTGACTCCTCCAAGCTCCTCTCTCCTTCCTCTTTCTCTCCTCCATCTTCCTCAAACCCGCCCTAGAGATGCTAGCTCAGAGTCCCCAGGAAGTAGATGGCTCTCCAGGACTCCTCTGGCAGGTCTCCGAATTTGACACTCACTCTAGCCCCCAGGATGCCACTGCTTGGAAACTTGGCATCAGCAGTTCTTCCTAAGGGAACGGTTGGGGCACCTACATGCCCAGAACCTCCACTGGTCCGTAGGACAACTTTGTGCCGAGTAGAAAAAGGCACCCTTCTGCCAGACTTTTTGATTGCCATCTGTTGGAATATCGTTGCCATATACTGATTATAATGAAATACCACATATGACTGCCATATGCCAGGAAATTGTTATAGTAAACACAAAACTATGACATTTAGGATACAAACGATACATCATTAGACGAAGTGCCCCGGTGCACAGCTCAGCTGTCTGTGGCGGTCCTGCATGTAGCAAGAAGGCCTCTCTTCAGAAAAAGCAAGACAGTCTTGTCCCCACCTCCCTCTCCCCCACTTCCCAACCCCATTCTCTGACCACTCCTGAGTCCCCAGCCTGAACCTGGCTGGGGTGGCTCTCTAGGCCTGGCAATCGAGCGAGAGCGGCACGGGCGGGACTCAGGTGAGCTCCGGAGGCTCCTCAACTCTCTGGAGTGCAAACAGGATGAGTACGCCAAGAGCATGATCCTGCACAGTATCACGCGCTGTGTGTACTTGCTGGAGGCCGAGGTGAGGGAAAGGAAGCAGGAAGTCCCTCCCAACCAGCCCGGCCCCCGGGGGCTACGGCCGATCCCTGCCCCCTTGGCTGGACAGACTGTGTCCTGAGACCTGTCTCTCTGGCTGCTGGCGGGAGGGGTCGTGCTGAGGGGCCTTGGTAACATGGGGGGCTGTGGGCCCAGGACACCTGCTTCTCCTGCCTCTTCTGTCTCTCTTGGCACACTCTAGGCCTCTGCTTGTACTACTGATGACATCGCATTGGTGGGCTCCATGCTGGATGACAAGGACAACAGTGTCAAAATCCAAGCTCTGAACACACTTAAAGCTTTCTCTGGCATCAGAAAATTCAGGCTTAAAGTCCAGGTGAGCAAAAGCAAGCGGTGGGGTGGAGCACACAGGCTGTCCACAGACCGTGGGTTCTTTAATAGGCATGGGGTAAATAAATGGTCATGCTCTGGAAGTTTTGGGGTCCGATTTTCCTTGTAATCAAGTGAGAAAATGGTGGTCAGATTCCTGGCAGGATCATAAAAGCCTTTGAATATCAGGCTGAAACTGAACTAGGGTGCTAGGAGTATCTCTGAGTCCCAACTAGCAGAAAGCCCCAAGGTTCTTTCTGATACCATCCCATCCGACAACACCAATGGGGTGTCCTATGATGCAACTGCATTCTGACACTGTCTACCTGGAGTTAGTGCAGACCCCACAGATAAGGGATTCAGCCCCACGAGACTGCCTCCCACGTCACATGCCAGTCACAAGTGCCAGTACACTTAGCTATAAATTTGGACTTCCTCCTCTGGTTTGAGAATTCACTAGGAAGACTCACAGAACTCAGGAAAACACTTTACTTACATTTACCAGTTAATTATAAACTGAGGAGGAGCCAGATGGAGGAGATGCATAGAGCAAAGTATGGCGGGGGGAAGGGTGCAGTGTTTCCATGTCTTCTCTAGGTGAGCCACCCTCCTGGCACCTTGATGTGTCCACCAACCTGGAAGTTCTCCGAGCCCTGTTTAGGGGTATGTGTGGAGGTTTCATTATGTAGGTGCGATTGATTAATCATTGGCCATTTGTGATTGAACTCAATCACTAACCCCTCCCTTCTTCAACCCCCTTAATCATGGCTTGGCCTTTCTGGCCACCAGCATCCCCATCTGGAAGCTATCTATCATCCACAAGAGTCACCTGCTTGACATAAACTCCGGGGTAATGCAGAAGAACTTACTATGAAAAGCAAAACATCATTCTATCAGTCAAATGCAAGGATTTTAGGAGCTCTGTGCCTAGAACCAGGGACAAAGACCAGATCTGTCATATCACCCACCCTCTGCTGTGTTGGTCTGATGCTGGTGGCTGGGCCACTGATGCCTTCACTACTACCATATAGAGAAAATACAAGCCACCACACGTCCCCAGGCTTACCTGTTTTCACACCCATCCTTTCCTGCTTTCTCACTGATGCCATGGGAAAATGGCTTTCTTCCTGTCTGTGGCCAATGTTAGTCTCAGTACTGGATCCCATCCCCTTCTTTGAGGACTTCTTTCCTTAATTAGACTCTTTGTCTGATATGCCCCCCCCTCAACTCCTTCCCATTAATTCAACATGCTCTAATCCTTCCAATCCTAAAAAAACACCATCCCGTAACAAAGAACCTTTCTTCCTTGACCTCCAAATTTCTCTCTAGCAAGTGATCTCTCCTAATTAAAAATAAATATAGAAAACTTACAAATATTTTATATGTGTACGGTAGAAAGAACTATAAACAAAACACACGTAACCAAAACCCAGGCTAAGAAATCTAACATGACCAACAGCTTAGATGCTCCAGTTGCTCCCCTCCCCCACAATCCCAACCGGAGGCAATTATTTCCTCCATTTTGTGCGTCTGTTCCTTGATTTCTTTATAGTTTTACCATATATTCGGGTATCATTCTGACAACGCGAGGTAGTTAATAATAGGCAAAATGTAATTTGGGATGTTTTTAAGCTTCAACATATCTGGAAGTGTGCAGTTTGTATTCTGTGGTTTGCCTTCCCCTCAGCACTGGAAGATTCATCTTTATTGGTGTGGGTAGCTCTGTTTCCTTGTTTTCTACTGCTGTATAGTACTCTAGTTCATGAACATCCTGCGATTGTATTTATCCATTTGCCCATGGGTAGGCACTTAAATTGTTTCTACATTGTGCCATGAGCATTCTTGTATACATCTCCCTTGAGGATATAGGAGACTTTCTCTAGGATATGTATGTATGCAGGCGTGGGATGGCTGGATGAAAGGGTATGCCCAACTTTTCAAAAAGGGTTGTATTAATTTACAGCCTGTACTGGCTCTGCATGAATATTCCAGTTGCATTATATTCTCCCCGCCAAAACTTGGTATTTTCACACTTTAAATTTTTTGCATCAAACTTTTTTGAGGAGGGGCACTTGGCTGGCTCAGTCAGTAGACCATGCTTGATCTTGAGGTCATGAGTTCAAGCCCCATATTAAGCATGGAGGCTACTTAAAAAGAAAGGAAGGAAGAAAAAATTGGGGGGGGGGTTGGGGGGAAGGTCTCTAGGTCTCCACTTGCTGGCTGCCTCTGCTTTATCCCTCAGCTCTCTCAGTTTCCCTAAGTCTGTAATTCTCAGACATATCAATTGCCTGCAGAGCTGTTTAACATTGAAGATTTCAGGACCCCACACCTAGAGAGTCTAGCTGAGCTGGGGAGCTATGTTTTTCACAAGCCCCCCAGAAGATTCTGACGCAGCTGGTCTGGGCAACACTTTCCCCATCGTATCCTGAGGACCTGATCCCTATTCTCGGAGTAAAAGCAGCCGATCAGGTTTCATCTGGATGCACTTTCCTGCATCTCTGTCCGTAGCCTGGGGACTCCCTTGACCTCCAGACCCATGGCCAGCTGCTCCACTTAGACATCCTAGTGGCCCTCTAGCTCAGCATGTCCAAAATGGAGCTTGCCCCTGTTCCCTAAGTTAGACCACCCTTTCCAGAGGGATCTGGTCCCCTCAACCCCCTGCTTGGTCTTCCTTAAAGCTCTTAGCATAAAGATCACAGTCCTTCACTTCCTTGCCCCAGCCCCAGGCATTCACATTGTATGTTTCATGCTCTTCTGCTCCCTGGCCCTTGCACCGGCTGTTCCCTTTGCCTGAAACACCACACCAGATGTGCTCTTATCTGTCCTTCAGCTCTTAGTGGACAACAAGGAGTTGGGGCAGGGAGAGGCAGGTACCAGTGGGAATGCTGTGACCCTCACTCCAGGATTCTTGCCTCCCTCTTACATGGCTCACAAAAGTACAGCTTGTGGGATTCTCAGTCCTTGGTAATACCTCTCAGTCCAAGCATCTTACGTCTTGGAAGTCAAGATCCCTTTATTCATTCAACAAATGTATATGAAGTACTTTGTGTTTAAGCACTGGAGACACAACAGTGAGCAGCACAGGAAAGATCTCGGTCCCAGTGGAAGCTTCTATTCCAGCAGGGCAAGGCAGGCAATACACAAATTAGGGAAATCTATGGTATATTTCACGTAACAAGTGCAACGGAGAAAAATAAAGAAGGGTGGTAAGGAAGCAGGTATGGGAACTTCCTATACAGTTTCAAAGGAGAAAATCTTTGGGACTTAGAGCTTGATGAAGGGTTCATAGAAATAGAAATAACACCAAAAGCATGATCTATAAGAAAAAATCGATACATTGGACTTCATCAAAACTAAAAGCATTTGCTTTGTGAAGAACCCTGTTTTTTGTTTTTTTTTCAACGTTTATTTATTTTTGGGACAGAGAGAGACAGAGCATGAATGGGGGAGGGGCAGAGAGGGAGGGAGACACAGAATCGGAAACAGGCTCCAGGCTCTGAGCCATCAGCCCAGAGCCCGTCGCGGGGCTCGAACTCATGAACCGCGAGATCGTGACCTGGCTGAAGTCGGACGCTTAACCGACTGCGCCACCCAGGCGCCCCGTGAAGAACCCTGTTAAGAGGATGAAAAGACAAGCTGCAGGCAGGGAGGAAACATTTGCAAAGCACATAGCTGACAAAGGACTCCTATCTAGATCATATAAAGAGCTCTCAAAACTCACTATTTAAAAAAATCTAAGTAGAAGATGGGCAAAAGACGTGGCGATATTGCACTGAAGAAGATCTATGAATTGCAAAGAAGCACATGAAAAGATGCTTAAAATCGGTAGACCTGAGGGAAACGTACTTAACGCTGCGGTGACCTATCACGACACACCTATTAAGTGTTCTAAACTCAAAATTTGTGACAGTACCAGATGCTGGCGAAGGCGGAGAGAGACTGGATCTCTTGTGCGTTGCTGATGGGAATGTGAAATGGTACAGCAGCCATTCTGGAAAATAGTTTGGCAGGGTTTTTTTTTTTTGAAAAAATGAATTATATGTTTACCACACAACCCAGCAATTGCACTCTTAGGCATTTATCCTAGAGAAATGAAAACTTCTGTCTGCACAAAAACCTGTACACGATCTTATTCGTTGCCACTTTTCCTGTAATAGTTAAAAGCTAGAAACAAGCAAAATGTCTCTCAATGGATAGATGGTTAGACAAACTGGTAATCCACGCCATGGAACGCTAGTTGGAAACACAAAGGAGTGAAGTCTTGACACACACCACAACTTGGATCTCAAGGGCATCACACTGGGTGAGAAACCAATCTCAGAAGGTCCCAAAGTGTGATTCAATGTATGTAACATTCTCAAAGTGAAAAAATTGTAGAGATAGAAAACAGATTAGTAGTTGGGCCGCTTTGGGTGGGAAGGGGCAAATGTGACCGTAATGGAGTCCCAGGAGGAAGATCTTTGTGGTGATGGGACACCACTGATGGCATAATCCGTTGAGAGCAGTGGTGGTTACGTGAATCTACACACGTGATAAAATGACACAGCACCAGACACACTTTGTGCCAACACCCATTTCCCCATTTTGGTATCGTGTATAGTTATGTAAGGTGTGACCATTGAGGGAAACGGGGTGACAAGCACACAGGACCTCTCCGGGCTCTTTTTGGAACTTGCTGAAAATGTATAGTTATTTGGAAATTAAAAGTTTAAAAATAAGTATGTTGCATGTGCAGTGCTGTGGGGAATGGAATAAAGATGGGAGATAAGCAGGGCTGGGACGGGAGTGGTTGCAGTCTTAAAGAAGGGGGTGGTCAGGGAAGACCTCACGGAGAAGGCGGCATTAGCGAAAGGTCTTCAAGGAGGTAAGAGAGGGAGCTATGACTACCTGGAGGGAGAGCATTCTAAGTAGAGGAAACAGCCTGCACAAAAACAAGATAAGTGTGTATCTGGCATGCTGAAGGAATGGCTAAGAGACCATTGTGATGGCAACCATGGGAGCCAAGGAGAATAGGTGATGAGGTCAAAGAAATAGTGGGGGGTGGAGGGGGGGAGAGGGGCAGAGCATATGGGACCTTGCAAGCCACTATAAGGACTTCAGCTCTTACCCTGAACGAACTAGGGACTTGAGCCGAAGAGTGACGTGTCTAACACGTCTGCTATTCTGAAAATAGAGGCAGGGGGCGAGGATGGAAGCAGGGAGACAGGAGGCTCTTGCAGAAATCCAAGTGAGAAATCATGGTGGCTTGGAACAGGGTGGTAGAGAGGAGACGGTGAGAAGCAGCTTAACTGTTGATAGATTTAGAAGGTAGAGCCAACAGGATTTTTCTGAAGGATTGGAAAAAGTGGTGTGAAGAAAAACAAAGCACAGTAGTTAAAGAGGACCACTTTAAAGATTTTTGACCCGAGTAATTGGAAGGGGGATGTAACCAACAGCAGAGACAGGGAAGATGGTGGAAGAAACAGGTTTGGGGACTGCATACATGTTAACTTTGAAAGGTCTATTAAGCATTCTGGCAAGGGACGCCTGGCTGGCTAGGTTGGCAGAGCATGTGACTCTTGATCTCGGCATTGTGAGTTCGCGCCTCACATTGGGTGTAGAGATCACTTAAAAAATAAAATCGTGGGGCACCTGGGTGGCGCAGTCGGTTAAGCGTCCGACTTCAGCCAGGTCACGATCTCGCGGTCCGTGAGTTCGAGCCCCGCGTCAGGCTCTGGGCTGATGGCTCGGAGCCTGGAGCCTGTTTCTGATTCTGTGTCTCCCTCTCTCTCTGCCCCTCCCCCGTTCATGCTCTGTCTCTCTCTGTCCCAAAAATAAATAAAAAATAAAATCGTTAAAAATGGGGGTGGTTCACGTCGGTCAGAGTGGCTAAAATGAACAAATCAGGAGACTAGATGCTGGAGAGGATGTGGAGAAATGGGAACCCTCTTGCACTGTTGGTGGGAATGCAGACTGGTGCAGCCACTCTGGAAAACAGTGTGGAAGTTCCTCAAAAAATTAAAAATAGATCTACCCTATGACCCAGCAATAGCACTGCTAGGAATTTACCCAAGGGATACAGGAGTACTGATGCATAGGGGCACTTGTACCCCAATGTTTATAGCAGCACTCTCAACAATAGCCAAATTATGGAAAGAGCCTAAATGTCCACCGACTGACGAATGGATAAAGAAGATGTGGTTTATATATACAATGGA